TAACTTATTAATTTTGTAGACAGACTAATAATACATGATTACTCAAACATGTGTGAATGAAACAAAAAACAACTCCCGGTCTGTTTTTGAGGAGGTAACAACATTCTAACATTGCTTAAAGCTCACAAGAGTCAATGTTGCGCAATATAGATCCTTTAATACCTCACAGCAGTGTAATCCCGCTCTTCAAAACATAAAATCCGACGTAATTCAAAACATTCTTCTTATCTACAAATCAAACCGGGACCTTGCCATTGTGATAAAATAGTGTACATAGTTTGTATCCTTGCGTCACGTCTTATCTGGTGTGTTACAGTAGCGGGAGGAGACGAGGGAGTCCAGTGCCCTTCAGAGCTCACACATTAAATTTGCATCTGGAGTGCTCCGATCAGTGACCAGTGTAATGTCAGGTGTCAGGGCTCTAGACGCGCTCGCTTTGTCTGTCCAGTCACAATTCAAATCAAGAATGACTCAGATATCTGTAAGGAAATCATCTGTAATATCAACCTTTTGTGATACTAAAAGGTGTACTGTGTAACTTTTCTGGTGGAGGGTCCATCAAATGCTTTTAGCCAGTTTTGTTTAGAATGATTCACACTTCAAAGTATGATATTAAACCTTTCTATCTTCATGGAGACCAAACCAGATCAAGTTACAGGTCAGATCTGTGGAGAGGCAACCCCGCTCACAGTCAGAAAGTGTGTTTTTTCTTGATATTTTTGAGCTCTAAAACAGTCTGGAATTGAATAAATGTAATGTAGAGTTATTTTATGTCACACTGTGGAACATTTCAGCCAGAGCAATGACGTATCCATAGAAACAAGCAGGTGACCGACCCCCAAACAATACTTTAAATAGTGCAGTCTTTTAAAAACGTCCTGTACCCGTTTTTCCCCATGTTTTTGAGCACAATCTGTCTTGCCCTTTTTTGCTGACAAGAAATTATTTATGGATTTAAAAAATATGAAATAAACAGAGAGGGTAGTGCAGGGGTGTCAAACTGAAATTCACAGAGGCCAAAATTAAAAACTGGGACTAAGTCGAGGGCCAAACTAAATATTTATTGAAAAATTTCAACAACATTTGCATGTTTTCTCTACTTTCGAGATATGTAATGTTAAACCTTTTCTTATTAAAATAAATGTTTAATAATAGTTTTGCTTAAACATTGAATCCAGAACAAGCAGAATATAAAATAACAAAATAAATAGTCTCTATAGCAGGCGTCTCCAACCTGTAGCTCGGGAGCTGCCAGTAGCTCTCCATCTCATTCCAAGTGGCTCATCAGGGGATTTCTGGATTACACGTATTGTCCTGAATAACTCAAATTTGATTAATTAAACACCTGTTATTATTGTAAATCTATCATTATAATGCCTGACTTTGAGTGCTCCTAAATAAATAATGGTTTATGTTTTATGATTTATCTAACTGTATCTTGCCATGGCTCTTATGTACACTTTTTTCTTGAGATTTCTAAAAGTAGTAGCTCTCTGGAATTTTCATTTTGTAAAGGTAGCTCACCAGAGGAAAAAAGTTGGAGACCGCTGCTCTATAGCCTATCCGTAGCCAGCGGGTCAGCTCTAATACATATTTGTTATGATTTTGTGGGCCAAATTTGGCCCCTGGGCCTGAGTTTGACGTGTCTGTGGTAGAGTGTCCAAAAATGATGCTTAAGAAAAGAAAACATTACTTTATAATAAAAATATTCAAGTAGAAGTACAAAGTAGTCGTCCAAGAAATTACTCAAGCAAGAGTAAAGTCCTGTGTGCATCTAAAAACTTATTGTCAGATAATCAGGAAGTGGGTGTTAACATGCTAGTTGTTGTTGGCTTTACTGATAAGGCAAAAGCTCTGGTTTCTGAGATGTGAAAAACACTCATAAACTCATCACTGTGAGTAATTAGAATGCCTTGAATGCAGAACGTAAATGAAGAAAAACTATGGACCAATGCAAACTATTAAAAATGGACTAGTTCTGTTTTTCACATTTTTGACTGTGAAAATCATGTACAGTGTGTTTAAGATGTCAGTTTTGTGTCTATAGTTTGCAGACAGTTCTTTAGTGAAATGTATGTACAGTATGTGCAGCACACTTCTATTAAACATAAAGAAGTTTTTATTGGAATAATTAACGGTGAACCAAAGACTAATTTCTACTATAGTGGACAAAAGATTTAAGTTAAAGTTAGAGTGTGTAACTTTCTGGAGAAGCGTGAATCATTCCATAGAAATAGAAAGTAAGAACCACACTTCTGCTACGTTTCAGGCCATACTGTGGATCATTATAGTCAAAGGAATACAATTCCCATGGAAACAAGCAGGTCAAATAAGATTCAGGTTTTATTTTAGACTACCGGTACAGGCTTTTATTTTAGACTTTCAGAACAAATAAAAATGTCTTTCAATATGAATTTCCTGAACATAATTAAGGCAGATTTTTAATCATTACCATTAAAAACGTATAATTACTTACTCCAAAGTCAAACTCTATCAAACCCACAGCCCGAGCTTCAAATAAAATGGTGCACATGTGTGTTTATTTTGGGAGATAACAGACAAAGTTTTTCCAAAGTTCTTGTCATTGTAGCATAACAAAATACCTCAATTCAGTTCAAACATGCCCAAAATGCCTTAAAGGTGCAATGTGTAACTTTCTGGTGGAAAATCACCTGCTTGTCTTCATGGAGGTGTTTTACTTTACTCAGAATATTCCACCGTCTATCTTGCATTGATTTACTGTAATTATACTGTTATTACACAGAAATACCTCGAAAAGCATGGATTTGAACTTCAAGTGGGCTTGCTCCTCCACAGAACAGAACAGTGACTTGGCCTGGTGGTGTCACGTACTTTTATTTATGGACATGGATAAGTTTAATGCCATGTTGTGGAATATTTTGATTAAGACAAGTGAACCAGAAATGCAACTTTAAAGGTCCTATATTACGCAAAACTGACTTGTGAGCTTTAGGCCGGGGGTTTCCAACCTTTTTCCTCAACTGAGCTACCTTTACAAGACAAAAATACCAGAGACCTACTAGTTTTAGTGGTCACAAGAAATTTAATATATAAAAAAAGAGCCTCAGCAAGCTTTAGATGAGATACAGTTCGATTAGTGTGACCAGTCGTTCCTATTTACTCGGGACAGTCCCAGTTTTGAGCCTGTGTCCCCTGTCCCAGTAGATTTATACAAAAACACTGATTTGTCCCAATTTTATACAAGAAACGTCCCAGGTGTCTCTAGTTTTGACCAATTTGACCCCTGCGAACAGTAAAGAGAGGCATAAACTGTCATTTGTTCAAGTAAAATACAGAAAAGCAGCTGAAAAATGACCAAAACACGAAGAAAATTTTACTCTACTGACTCATGTTTGTCATGCATGGGCCGAGTGCAGAAAAGATTTTCTTAATTACGCACTCAATTTACAATTTGATTTTTACCAACCACCACAAACCGAGGGTGTCCCGGGTTTTTATTTTTGAAAATCTGATCACCCAAAGTTAGATCCCCATAAAACATAAACCATTCTCACTGTATTAGTGCACAAAGTTGAGCTACAGGTTGGAGACTCGCGCTTTAGGTCATGTTATCAGGGGCGGTTCTGGGCACGGGCAAACAGGGCAGCATCTCATGGGGATTAGGGTTAGGGTTAGGTCCTCACTTTTTTCAATCAGTGTAGGATCGCCACTGCATGTTATAATGCTGTTACCTCCTCCAAAACGTACTCGGAGTTGTGTTTTGTTCCATTCACACATGTTCGAGCAACCCTTTTTATGCGTCTGTCTGCATCTCCAAAGCTCAAAATGCTCTGCTCCACCTTGCACTGAGAGAAAAACCCAGCCTAAATACGCAGGGAGTGTGAATGAAACAAAACACAAGTCCAGGTTTGTTCGTGATGAAAAAAACTCATCAGAAAATCACGTAATACGAGCTCTTCTTTAAATAGTGCTTATATTACATCTAAATGTCATGGGAACAGCAACAAGTCATTACCAGCTTCTCTTGCAATTTTCTCCCCTGCCACCTGCAAAGATGTATCTCCTTATGATGTCATTATAGCGTCATTTATCGTGAGCTCATTGCGTTACGACCAGCCGTTGTAGGTTAACCGCTTTAACATTTGCGAAAAGTCAATTTACCCAAGCAAGGCCCTCATTTTTGGGAATTTACACACTTGTTTTAACACTGTTGATGTTATCGCAGTGAAGTGCAAGAGAAACACAGCCTAATTGAACCCTAACTTCACGTAATTACTTAATCCGACATTTTTACGCACCAAAATTGCCATCTATAACCACGTAACGACTGATTACGCGATTACTCTTACACACTCCATATCCCCTACACGTAAAGATTGATTACTTAATTGATTCCTTAATAGGTCAGTACGTGCAACTCTGGTAACTTCAACGTATTTTGGACAACAAACATTTTCACACGCCCAAATCGTCACCAATTAAGGCGCGTAAAACCCAAATTCCACCCACTCGATCAATATATTCCATAAAGTTTGCAGCCCTCGCGTCCAGGTGACCCCTTCGTTCCGATATGCGTGATCTCATTGCGCTCTCAGCCTTCCACGTCCCTCTTGTTGACCTTGGTTGAGTCTAAAGCGAGGACAGAGCGCTATTATCCGTGTTATATGGCATTGCACTTGGTACGGTGGCGGCGGCGGCGGCGGTAGTGGTGGTGGTGGTAGCGTGTTGATACTGGGAACAGAGAGGAGGAGGAGGAGGTGGTGGAGGAGAGGAGGAGGAGGAGGGAGGGAGAGGAGGGAGAGGAGGAGGAGGAGGAGGAGGGGGGCCCATGCACATACGCACACATACATTGCAAAACTGCCAGTCCGATCGCGAGTAGCCCTACCACTCCCTCGGTATTCATCACAAGCATTATCTGATATTCCCCAAAGCGACGTCCGCGCGAACAGTTAGCGCAACATTTAGCGCAAAAAAAACAAGTCGAAGCAATGACGAAAAGATAAGCACTCGCTACTTACCGTATCGTTGCTTTCCGTGGTAGCCACTAATATCTACGTAGAATTTTCAGAGGTGCGTGGAGCGGGGAAGAGTAGCCAGATCGTCCGTACGTGAAGCAGTGTACCGTAATTTTCCAAAACGCAAAGCAAACACAAGCGTCCGAGTGGTGCTTCCCAAAATATAAGTATAGAGGAAATACGCTCGATTCTCGCCGATGTGTCGCCGTGCTGTACTCCACACGGGGTAAAACAGCCTTCAAAAAAAATCGACGAAAGCCAACAACTCCGCGCACACTCCGTAAATGACCGATTCTTCGCGATGTTTGCTCAATTTCATCCGCGGATCCACTCTGGTCGAAGCCAGCGGCACCAGCTCGAGCACAACCGCGTCTCCTCCTCCTCGCTACAGCCGCGACTCGCTCGTGTGCTCGCTGGGTATACGGTGGCTCGCTCGCTCGCTCGCCTCGTTCGCTGGTTCGTTCGCTCGCCTGCGCACACACATATACACACACGTAGCTGTAGCTGTATCCGTCACTTGGCCGGAGCAGTGCGCGCAGCTTTCAGTTTAGTGCAATAGCGAGAAAGCCAGCGTCGTGGAGCGGAGTGGAGCGGAGCGGAGTGGAGTGGAGTGGGGAGAGCTCAAAAACTACCCTGACGTTGCGATAAGAGACGGCAGACATAGACAGCCAGGTGGATCGCTCAGGCTTTGCTCCCTCGCGTGAAAACGACAAGGAGAAAAGTCAGAATTTTTTTGCATAACGTCAAAAAGTACATCCTCAATCGAGTTGTGCGCTGAAACATGTGACGGTAGCGTGGTGAGGCTTTTAAAGGGGTATCCACGCGTAAACTGACAAACCGGATCACTCCACTCAACTTTTACTACAGTGTGGTAAGTTTTGATTGATGTGTCACTGTGAACCACCTGTAAACACGACACCAAACTTATTAAAAAGCAATAAATGTGGTCGTCAGGGTTGAAATTGTAAAGGTTTTTTGTTGGTTTGTTTGTTTTATTCAATTCACAATGCGTTATTTGTTGTTTCCAAGTCCAAAAACGAAACCTAAAGGAGCTTCAAATTTCCTGGTGGAGGTGTCTGCTTGTCTTCACCTGGAATATTCCACTGTATGGCATTAAAGGTACAAGACCGGTCGAAAGTTTTAGAACAACCCTCATTTTTCCAGTTATTTATTACAATTCAAGTCCAATGAAGAGCTTGAAATCCAATCTAATCCACTTTATTTATACAGCACATTTCAAAAACAAACAGTTTCCAAAGTGCTGCACAAATACATAACAACAATAATAAAATGGTAAGATAAACGCTCAGATTTAATCATACTAATCGGCAAACAAGTAAAATAAAATAAGAGCAAAATCATAGAATAGTGATAAATAAATAAAGCCAATATAATACATAATAAAAATTAAATTAGCTGAAACAATATATAAAAAATCACTTAAAGTATTAGACAAAAAGCCCACAAATGATCACTGTTGCAGAATACTTGACAAATACAAATTCCTAAATTGGGAAAACACAATCAAATATGCAGATTTAATTCTGGTTTACAAAGTTTTTAATCATCTTGCTCCACCTCCTCTAAAGGAGTTTGTGAAAAGAAATTCAAATCGCACAACAAGAGCAGCTCCAGAGGCGACTGCTCTGTGCCGTTTAGGAAAAGTACCTTTGGACAAACTCTCTTTTGCTTATCGAGCAGCTCAAACATGGAACACAGAGCTGCTCATATACGAGAACTTTCAACACTGTCAGCATTTTCTAAAGCTTTAAAACAGTGGTTATTCAATGGTCAAATATGTCACCATGTTTAACCAATTTATCTTTTCTTTTATTTTGAGGGGTTGTTGGTTTAACTCTTGACTTAATTCTTAAACTTCTGACTTTGAACTTCAAATGAACTGTTTGAAACTAATTGTATGTATAGTGAGTGTGCTGGTGTTGTGTACTTTTGTGTGATTGTTGCTGTACTTTTCCTCGTCCTATAGATGATTTTACATCAAGCTGCCGAGGGACTGAAGATGGAAATTAGCCACGTTGGCTATAATCTTTGCATATTTACATTTTTAATGTTCATTAATATGTACTGTCCCTTTACAAATAAATAAAATAAGAAATAAGAAAAATAGACTGCGGTGTTAAAAGCCAGAGACTAAAAGTGGGTTTTAAGACAAGATTTAAAACTTTCCGCTGTGGGGGTTGTTCGGACGTGTGGGAGAAATGGTACAAAGGTAAGAACTGAGCAGCCAGAGGTTAAAGATAAAAGATACAAAACACAAGTCCAAGCTCTGCCAAAACTACCTCAGAAAAAAGAACAAGATGGTGAGTGTCCAGCAGCAGCACAGTGTCCAGACTTAAACCCCATGGAGCTGGTTTGGGATGAACTGGACAGAAGAGTGAAGAAACCTACAAGTGTCACACATTTATGGAAACTTCTGCAACAGACTTGGGAAGAACTTTCTGAACAATATTTGATTTCTGTTGTAAAAAGAACGAGCCACGAGTGTGTTCAGCTGTTCTATCTGCCAAAGGTGGACACACACATCAATCAAAAGTTTAGAATATGTTTTGGTCAACAGTAAAGAGTAAAAAAATGGAAAAATGCTTTGTCTAGAATGTTCCACGGTACAGAATAAGCCTTATTTATGACGAGGGAGACAAGCAGGTTACGGCACTACATTACATCACAGTTCAGATCTGTGGAGAGTCGCCCCTATTCTGAAAAAAACTATTGTATTTTAGGATAATCTGGATGACTTCAGCCCTGGAATTGCCAATCTCTACTAAACAAAAAGTAAAAGTTAGCTGTTAAAGGTGCATTGCGGAACTTTTCTGGTTAAGGATCCGTCACCTGCTTGTCTTCATGGAGATTCTATTGTTTTGTCTAGAATGTCCCATGGTAGAAGTTAAATCTATCACGAGGGTGTCGACTATAGACTACATTATAAGTCAGATCTATGGAGCTGCAACTCAGTTCACAGAGAGGATTATTTTTGAGCAATAGAAACACCTGTAATGAATAAATGCAGGATAGATGTGTTTAATGTCATACCATGGAACATTCCAGGTAAAGCAATAACATCTCCGTGGAGACAAGCACCTTCAAATGTGTCTATCTCACATTTATTTGATGACGAGGTTTTATTTCATTACCAAAATAATACTTTATCAAATATTCCTACTGTGAGAGGGATTACCTTTCCACAGAGGTGGGACCAAGTCGTTGTTTTGCAAGTCTCAAGTAAGTCTCAAGTCTTTGACCTCAAGTCTGAGTCAAGACCCAAGTCAAATACAGGCAAGTCCAAGTCGAGTCTCGAGTCTCTGGTCCATAAGTCCAAGTCAAGTCCAAGTCGTCTGCTTTGAGCTTCAAGTCATTTCAAGCCAAAAAAGTACCAAATAGAGCTTAGATTTTTGCAGTTTAGATGATTTTAAACTAAATTGTTCTTTAAAAAAATCATGGAATATTTATATATGAATATTTATAAGAGTTGTAGAAATGCAATTTTTTCCTTTTTAAATGTCTTGTCAAGATCTTAGTGTGAATCATTATAGTCAGAGTAGTAAATCTTCTCAAGTCACAGGGCTCAAGTCCAAGTAAAGTTCCAAGTCACTGAGCTTCAAGTCCAAGTCGAGTCCCAAGTCTTAGTCTGTTTTATCAAGTCAAGTCTCAATTTCTAAAAACAGTGACCCAAGTCTGACTCAAGTCCAAGTCACGACTTGCAAGTCCCCACCTCTGCCTTTCCACAGATCTGACCTGTATAACTTGGCCTGGTGGAGTTACCTGCTTGTCGCCATAGAGATAGATAAGTATGTTTATTCCTCGTTTAGTCATAATGAGGAACTTTTCAGGCAACAGCGTAAGATTTCCAGGTAATTATGAGTAATGAGTTTAAGTCCTATTATAATGTTGTTACCTCACCTTGTGACGTCATGAAGCAACAGTTTTCAAATTAACAGCTCATTTTACCTTCAGTTTTGCAGAAATTGGTAATTCCAGGGATGAAATTAAGCAAATAACTCAAGCAAAGGTGTTAAAACACAGTGGAGCACTTCCTCTATTACCACATGACATCATGAGGTGTTTTCTGTTTAAGAGAAGAACTCCTGAATATCCAGTTGTGTGTTAAACATGTGTAAATGAAACAAAACACAACTCCGGGTCTGTTTGTGAACAGGAAACATTATAACAGAGAATTTTTAAAATAGGGCAATACAGGCCCTTTAACCAAAATATTTCAGTCAAGGTTACTTATTCTTCATGTGACTCCAGTTTTGATTTGCTGAATAATTAACCATGAACTACAGGGCAAACTCCCAAACAGTTTAAATGGTGTCAGACGCATTCAGAGTCTGTGAAAGTCTGTGTGTCTGCACTGGAGCTTTGATGTGGAGTTTCTGAAGTTTCCAGCGTCACTTTCATTTCAATTTGGTGCTGTTCTGAGCATGGTTCAGGAAGACAGCAAAAGTGCACGAAATAAAGACGTGAAGCATAGACTGAATGAAGAATAATGTAAAGAATGAAAGAGTGAAATGTCATATAAATGTATTTTATTATTAATGCATGATTATGGTTCCAAATTCACCTATTTGCACAATTCTGTCCTGTTTCCTCATCACAAACATACCTAGAGTTGTGTTTTGTTTCATTCACACAAACCCTGCATTTTTAGACTTCCCCCAAACCGAAAACACTCTGCTCCACCTAATGATGTCATGTGGTAATACAGGAAGTGCTCCACTGTGTTTTTAAACTCCACACAGCTGTTAATTTGCATTGCGGAAATTTCAGGTGAAGAATCTGTCACCTGTTTGTCTCCATGGAGATGTTATTGTTTTACCTGGAATGTTCCATGGTACGGCATTAAACACATCTATCTATCATTTATTCATTCCAGGTGTTTCTTTTGCTCAAAAATAATCCTCTCTGTGAACTGGGTTGCATCTCCATAGATCTGACCTATAATGTAGTCTACAGTTGTCTCCCTTGTGATAGATTTAATCTCTCCTGTGATAAAGATAAAGCAATCAAAGAGAAGCAGGTGACGGATCCTCCACCATAAAAGTTGCGCAATGCACCTTTAACAGCTAACTTTTACTTTTTGTTTAGCGGAGTTTGGCAGTTCCAGGGCTGAAGTCATCCAGATTATCCTAGTGAAGGTGTATTTAGTTTAAAAACACACTGGAGCACTTCCTGTATTAACACGACATCACAAGGTGGAACACCCTGTTGTCTGTTTGAGAGAAGCCTAGATTCGCAGGATTTGTGTGAATGAAACAAAAAAACAACTCTAGTTATTTTTGTGATGAGAAAACAGGACAGTAACGCTCAAATAGGTGAATTTTGAACCACAATCATGCATTAAATTGAAAACTACCACTACATTACAAGGTGGAACAGAGCATTTTGAGCTTTAGAAATATCCATCCATTTTCTTCCACTTCTCCGGGGCCGGGTCATGGGGGGCAGCAGTCTAAGCAGGGACTCCCAGACTTCCCAGACACTTCCTCCAGCTCCTCTGGGGCGACCTCAAGGCGTTCTTAGGTCAAATGAGAGACATAGTCCCTCCAGCGTGTCCTGTGTCTTCCCCGAGGCCTCCTCCCAGTGGGACATGCCGGGAACACCTCCCGAGGGAGATGCCCAGGAGGCATCCGGAACAGATGTGCTCCCGTCAGATGGCTCCTCTCGATGTGGAGGAGCAGCAGCTCTCCTCCGAGCTCCTCCTGTGTGACTGAACTCTTCACCCTATCTCTAAGAGAGGAAACTCATGTCAGCTGCTTGCATCCGTGATCTTGTCCGTTTGGTCA